CCTACCATATACACAGACCTTGTGCCCATCATTCTGGAGTTTCTGCATCACTTGCTTGAATCCATCGAGGCTGGGCTGTCCCATTCCAAACACTGCATACCCTCCTCTTGCCTGTCGGAAATTCGGAGCTCCACAACTACTAGTAGTGTTCAGTACATCTAACTTACTGTATACATCTCTGACCATAAAATATTTCCCCTGCAAAATAGGTAGTGGAGGGGGTAAAAAAAAGTGTTGAGTAGGAAACACACAACATATTACATAAAGCCAAACATCTACATACACCTGTAGCACTGCAAGAAGAGACAGAGGCAAGAGAAGACAATTTCCTCAAAGACACCCTTCCCAAACACCTGTTCCGCACACCCCTTCTGATCATGGATGATCACAAGTGTGCAGCAGAATATTTCTGCCTACTTGTACTCTATTTTCCCGTAGTGATTTACCCATTTGTATCAGCTTGCCTTTTCTGAATAACGGAAAACAACTTCAGCCCATTGTGCTATAGAGAAAAATTTCTTCCCAAGTCTTTCTCCAGAAGGTCTAGGGCTTATACTCTGAAGCAGAAAACTTAGTTCAACTTGAAAAGCTAAACAGATCACTGCTACCAATCCCAGAGCCCACATGTACACAGCTTGAGAACAGAGGATTCCATGTTTGGGAACCTGAGATCAAAACCTTTCAAAAAACTGAAGTGAGACTGTTCCCATGACTAGGTTAAAACTAACCTCAGCTGCCTCTCTTCCTTCCACCACCAAGTAGCTCCTGACATTGGTTCTTCCCCATCATCTCACCCACTCTACCTATGCAAAGCATTCTCTTCCAGATGCAAATCAGCCAATCCCAAATGTAGAAGAAAGCTTCACTTCCAATGGCTGAAATGAAATTAACTATGCAGAAAATTGCCCAGATATCCTACCCTTCCTTTAGGTCATAAAAGGCACTATTTTAATCTAAAAAAAAAAAAAAAGAAACATAACCTATTTGCTCCAGGCTCCATGCAAAAAAAACATGTTAATGGCAAAAGATGGTCAGCAGTATTTACCTGTACAAGGTAGTGTTCTGGAGTGGTTTCCGAAATCCGACCCACTGTGTAGTTGGCCTTGAGTAGGTCATCATGAATCTGGAATTCCTCTTTGCAGTTGTAACTGAAAGCCACATACAAAAGTCACATGGTAGTCAACACAAAGGGGCTTTCTCCACTCCAGTATGGAAATCGCTGACTGAAAAAGGTCAAGTGATTGAAGCTCAGGGAAGCAGAAATATGGTTTTGAAAACCCAACTTTCCCATCCTTTTAAATTAGGGAACTCCAAGTATGACATATGGTCTATAACTAAAACCATTAGTTAAATTTTTGTCATGCAACCAAAATTATACTGTATTCTGTGCATGGTAATAACCACTTCAGATGTGCCATGCAAGATGTGGGACAAGGCATTTTCTAGCAGCACAGGGATGACTGGCTCCAATCGGCCAGAGCTGCTATTGTGGAACAGGATGAAGAGAGAAATCCCTGAATCCTGTACCCATCAAGGAGCCTGCTGACCTGAGGGAACAGGAGAGAGGTGCTCAGGCCTTCTGAAAGGCTGTCCCTACTAGGGGAGGAGGCAGTAGAGTGTGGCTGAAGCACTCACCTCTTCCCCCCAGAAGAATGTTTGCTTAGGAAGACAAAATGCATCCTGAAATCAATGAGTCAGGCAAAACAGAGGAAATTTCCTAGTCTTTAATATAACAAGAAGGGCAGTGCTCCAAGAAGCTTTGGCAGGGAGGGAATGCCACATGCCAACTGGCTGGGGCAAAAAGACCCATGATTTACAAAAGAATTCCTGGCTTCAGCAACTCACGTAATAACTACTGGTGCCACTTTGTTGGTGATGATGGACTTTGCTTTGCTGTTGTGAAGACCAACGGTCTGGAAGGAGTGGATGCTAAGAGAGTGACGGTCGTCCATCGTCCCGTTGCCGTGAATGTTCTCAAACGTAGCTGCCGAGACAGTCTGTTGAGCCGTGCTGGCAGTTGTACCCATAATCCACAGGCAACTTCACAATTCAACCAGGAAGACAGACAGCAGGCAAAGGGGAAGAAATAAGGAGAGTGGAAAAAAATAAAAACCCTTTAGGGGGCTACTCTAAAGAAGTCCCAGCTCCGACAAACAGTCATCAGACATTATACTTCAGAAAGGTTCAGGTTTGACAACGCACAGGCAATTCTAAGACACTGTCTGCCCATTTAAAGACTTCCATTTATTTTAATGCTTGTGAAAGCAAGGTGTTGTAGGCCCTCACTAGAGTCAGGAAGAGCGTTGGCAACTCCCTGGCAAAATCCACTATCTTCTTTAACCTGGGCTCATCTGCACACCCCATCATCCAGTGCACTTCAGTTCCTATCTTTGTCTCTCTCAGCCACTACTACAAGTCACACAAAAAAAGTAATCAGTTCTTCCATTCAGCCTTGTTATTCTATTCCCGTGGTCTCTGTTCAGCAGACGCTGCCTGTCAGACCCCAGAGAACTAACTCAGACATAAAAAAACCTAAACAAAACAAAACAGAAACACCCCCAACACTTTGTTTGACAGTTATCCAGGGGAAGCTGAGAACTCTTAGGGTTTCCGACACATTCTGATCCATTTCCACTTTTTCACAGAAAAGAATACAAAAGTAGCCTCAAGGAACACACGAATAAGCTGCAAGTTCATGGTTCCCTCTGGCTATGTATCCTAACTACCTTGCCATTTCAGAGTAGACTAAACTCCATTCTCACAGCCTAACATGTGGCTTCTGTCCTTCCACGTCAAGGATTAAATACAAACCACTGCAATTCCTGCACTGTCCCCACAGACATCACTGCTGCCCTTGGCTCTACCATAAGTCTCCAAGTGGCCTTGGACAAGGCACCCGGCTGTTTTGGCCTCTCTCTCTCCATCTGCGTCGCTCTTTGCAATCTACTGATGAACAAATGAGAGTCCTCCTCTACAGAAAAGCCAAGGAGACTGCAGAATGAGGGATAAGGAAAAGAACAGGTACTGCCTTCTTGTTTCATTCTTGCTACTCAGCTCAGTTCTCTCAGCAGTCACATTCTCCTTTTGCCTTTCTCTCCATTTTAATAACAAACCAAGGTCTAATCTGCAGGCTACCATCAGCCTGTATGAATGAGGCTGGGGAAAGGCAGTACAGGCTGTATCACGGCCAAGAGGAAAATGATGGGCCCCCTTGATTAAAATCTCGTTTCTCCAGACTTCAGCCATATTGAATGCATCAGACCACCAGGTTTGCCGAGAGAGGGGAGAGTCCAGCCAACCTTTTTTTTAATAGAATGTCCTAAGCTCATACCTCAAGATGATGTAAAGCTTCTCACCTTAAACACCAATCTTCATACCAGTATGAGTCAACAGGCACAAAGGAGCTGGAGTTTGAACACAGGGAGGTACAGAGAAATTTGAATAATTTGGATCAGAGGACAAGCAATGGCTCTGGTGTTTTCCTTTGGTTGGAAAAATGTGCTCTTACTCCCACATTTTTGCTAGATGACAACACACTTTTCCAAACTCTTTCCTATGTATTTCTTTGTGGCAGGAGGAAGAAAGGGATGTGTTGTCTGCTCTGCAGCCACACCTAACAAACCTAACACTTCCTTAGTACCACATCACTATCCTGAATAGACTCTAGTGTGAAAGACCAGACAAACATATTTTTGCCTTTTTAAGTGGTAGGAGAGTGCAGACAGTCTAGCCACCTGCCTCCCAGATATGCTTAACTGCTTTTAGCCATCATCTCAGAGTACTGCAGCAGAAAGATGCATTTAAGCGTCTTTCCAATGATAGCCAAACAGAGAGCAGTGAAAGAGGCTGAAAATTAATATGCAAGAGGGAAATGGAAACAGCTTTTCTTAGACAGAAATATAGACCATATGAAACAATGTCATGGGACACGCAGAAGAAACAGAGAGATGTACAGAAGCCAAAACATGTGCTGCAAAAAGCTGTTTCTAGTCTAGCTGTGGAACCAGGCTAGAAAGGCAGAGCAGGGATAAGCACTGTACACAGGATAGAGGAGCAGCGTCCTGACTGAGGAGAAAGCCTTTGCTAAAGCATCGGTGTCTCATGGAAAGGCTAAATGTTCACATTTTTTCTTCTATTCCTTCCCTGGTGTTTACAGGAAGGTGTTATCAATCATTCACAGAGCTGCCCTCTAACTCCACTTTCAGGATGACTACACCCTGCCCAGAAAGAGCTCATATATCCCCACATGGCACCCGAATGTCTACACAGTGATGGAGGGAGGGCATTAGCCAAACTAGCCCTCTTCCCTCAGTCTAATTTACTCCCTTTTCTATCTCGTATTGTTATGAATCCCTTACAATTGGGAAAGGCTAATTGAAGCAACCTTAATGCTCCTGCCAGCATAGAGACCCTCATGAAGAAGAGCTTTCCATCAGTAAAGCTTTCCAAGAGAGTCAGAAATGGGTATTTTTCTCTAAGATTTGGGGACCAAAATACCCACCTGCAGAAGATCCATTGTCTTGAATTCAACAGTTCATTTAGTGTGATTTAAGTCAGTCAGCAGATGGCACCATTGAGTGGCATAAGGCTTTCCTGGCAACTCTGAGCACAAGCCGCTGCTGGCTCAGAGCAAAGATTAGCACTATTGTTTATTTTTGTGGTGCTAAGCAGTATGCTAGTTACTTCAAACACAAAGTTCCTGCCCCAGACTGAAGATGCTTTATGGAGTAAATATTAAGAAATATTTAAACGGCTGAGTAATTCTTTCATAAGCCCCCCAATCTCATTTCCAAGTTTTATTACAATGTCCGCTCCTTGATTATTAACATGCCAATTTAATAGGCATCTTTAAAAAAAAAGAAAAAACAAACAAACAAAAGGTAACTGAGTTCACTTAACAGCGTTTCCTGCTGTTGTCAACTGATACACACTCCTCACCTGTACTTATGTAACACTGTTCTTTTAATAACTCACTAAGTCTCTATCTGACTCAGGTTCCCTGGAGTGAAGCCTCCATTCCACCTACCCAGGCATATTCAACCAGCTATTTGCTATCCTAATGCTGCAGCCAGCACAGCTTTTGCTTCTAACAGTAACTACGACACCAGGGTTGTGGCCATCATGTAAACTGAAGAAGTAAGCAGCACTGTTCCCTTTCCTCCCCCTCACCATGCACCTCCTCCCACTATGAGCAGATGGAGATTCCAAACTGTTCCCGAAGAAGTCTGTTTAGACTGCATTTCATCCAAATTTACCCCCTGCTTGGGGTTTGATTATATTGGAAACTCAAAAAACAACAAGAAGATAAAAGCATCATCCTAAACTTTGGGCTTCCCTACAGTTTTCTCTCTTTCAAGTCTTAGTTTACTTTTCCACCCCTGCCAGACATGCAGGTAAAGGTGTGATGGGATCTGATGCACAACCCACACAATCGTGCTTTCTGCCATGCCACATACACTTCACTCCACAAGTGCGTGGCAGGAGGCATCGTTGCAGGATTATGCATCAGATCCCATCATGCCTTAAGATCATAATCTCCCCCTGCACTACCAAACAGCAAGTTCCCATGGCAGGAAGTTCCATCAGCTGCTCTGGGCTCCCAGCCATGGGGGTGCATGTTGCGTCCCCACACCTGGCTCAGCTGCAGACTCCCAGGCTTGGAAGTGCATGGCACACCCCCATGGTTGGGAGCCCCAATCAGCTCACAGGGATCCCAGCTACTGAAACACATGGTGCTCCCCTGCAGCTGGGAGCCCCATCGGCTAACAGGGCTACCAGGTACAGGGGCACACCTGGACACACGTTTAATTAATAGCATCATAGGAACCAGCCACAAAGTTTTTACATATTTTCTGTGGAATAACTTTGTGGCTTCTTCCCTGTTTTATCACACCATTAACTGACTGAATATGTGGTGGGGCCACAACTCAAGGCATGATTAACTGGTCAATCACCTCTTAAGTATAACATGTGGCAGGGGCCTTCTACTAGCTGCTCCCATTTTACTTATACCCAGGATGGTGTGAGCAGGGCACCCCCCTATATACCACAAGGACTCAACAAACATCAACCCAACTTTCCCTGAAGGATTTCAATACCTACTTACAGACTAGGTCAGGGGTTTTCTCAAAATGGGGCACATAGCAAACTTCTACACAGTACATGAGAAGAAGAAATGGAAAAGCAGAAGTGAAAAGCAAAATAAGTGAAGTAAGAACAAAGGCAAAAAATAATAACTATCTAAGGTTGTTGAAGAAATAACAGTGTGGGTTTAGTGACACAAGTACTACTTTTTAGCCCTAACAAAAATGTGGGGGTACACCACAGTACAATCAACTTAAGGGACAGATGACATAAAGGCACTTGAAAACCACTGGACTGGGTATACAGAATCCCCAAGTCTCTGGTTATGCTTGGCATCAGTAACATTTTAGAAGTCAGCAGCTCGTTGCATTTTTATAACATTAAACTGGTGCCCATCAATACTCTGGAAACTGTGGTTAAAATTAATTTGCAGAAATCTTGGAGTGCTGTTTACATGGATACAGCACTCAAATAACCAGCAGTGTATTGATTGCTAGCTATTTCATGATTAATTCTGGTTACTCTGGACATTCTTGACATGTGCCTGGAGTGGACATTGTACAGCTGTCAGCCAGTTTGGAGATTATTCCTTTTCTGATCAAGGGATACCAATATGCGTGGCTCCAACCTGTATTTGCTGCACATGTAGGGGTGAGGGGACAGGGAGAAGACATCAAGCTGACTGTTCGCATCCTCATGGCACTGGTCTTTCAAGGCTTTTGGGCAGACGACAGTTCTTTACTGGCTCCAGTCCTGTCCTCATCACAAACAGCATTGTCAGTGAAGCAGACAGGAGGCAACCTGGCAGCCTTCAGGCCATCTGTGCATACTCTCTGATTTGCCAAAGCCCATTTGGAAGGCCTCAAATAACCTAACCCAGCCTCTCAAAACTGCACATCTCCTCCTCCCCTGAACTTGTCCCACAGGCAATATTTTTTTTTTAAAATAAATTGAAG